AGAACTCCTCCTTCACCTTGGCACAAGGTCTGCAGCCATATTAGTGGTGTAGTATTTTATACTGTCTGCACCCAGCCATGCCAAGGCAAAGGTCGCAGAAATGCAATAGAAATTGTTCACACAATTTCTGTCCTCCGACAAATCCCCCGTTGAAGTTTGAACAATTTAAATTGCATTTCCGTAACATTCCTTATTCTACCCATAACATTTCAATAAACACAAACATACAATAATACTATTATCATTAATAAACTTAATAACCTATTGACCCTAAGATATGTGCTCTCAAAGTGCGCTTAAAAGTGCTTCTCTAAATGTAGGGTTTGTTCCTAAAAGTTTTATTCTGTCTAAAATTGTCTTCTGTTTTAATGTAAAGGTATTTGTGTATTTGTTCATCCAAATCTGTGTGTGTATTTGTTATCAGAACACAATAATCATCATGCAGTCACACACATTCACGCATACAAACTTTCACAGTGGCCACTGCCTACACACTTTCACACAAACATACTCCTGAGTTCCATGTCATTGTGTTTTAAACTTTCTTTTACTAACATGTAGTGAATAATCTAAAATCTTTACCTTCTAGAATTATGTGCTTAAGTATACTAAAAAATTGTGCTTTAATAAGACTAAAAATGCTGTGCTTTGATAACACTAAGATGTGTCTGTCAGGATGCAAGCATAGACTCTTCCAGTCATCTTCACTTCTGCAAGCCCTTTCCATTCCCCTGTTTGTGGATCCTTATACTGTAACTACTACCTGTTGACTTACCAGACACGACTGCAAAGAAGTGTTATGAATAACAATGGGAGGGTCTGTTCTGGTACCCGTCAACCGCAAAAAATTCAACACGTATAACACTTTTGCAAGCCGGTCATGTGGACTGGCTAGCTCTTCTCCCCCTTTCTGCTTTTGCAAAAGTGACTTCAGAACTCCATGAGCTCATTCAATAATAGTTTGACCTCTAGGAGAATGAGCAATACCAGTAACATGAGAAATACCCCAATTCATACAGAATCTTGGGAAACGTGAGGTATAACCAGGTCCATTGTCAGTTTTAAGTTCTGTGGGGATCCCTAGGGCTGCTATGCATGCATACATATGTTGAATGACATATCTGGTACCTTCTCCAGCCTGAGCAGAGGCCCACATGGCATGAGAAAAGGTATCAATGCATACATGCAAATATTTTAACCTCCCAAATTCCGCAACATGAGTAACATCCATTTGCCAAAGCTGCAATGCTTGTAGCCCCCGAGGACTGACTCCTAAGCAAATGCCCAGCCTGTTCTTATGACAGGTTGAACAGGCCTGTACAATTCCTCGTGCGTCCAATGAAGTGAACCCAAACTGCCTGACTAATACATTGGCAGACTGATGGAAAAAATCATGAGACAAGACTGCTTGCTGAAACTTATTTACTGCAGGACCAGTCCATGCAGGTGCCACTAATTTATCTGCTCTGTTATTCCCAATTGCTAAACCACCGTCTAGCTTCTGATGGCTTCTTATGTGAGTGACGAAATAGGGCTGTGTTGGCTGATCTAGCAAATGCAGCAACTGTGTCATAAGTGCTGCTAAGATTTTATTTTTCAGGGTTTTGATTTTTGCTCAATTGATTCGTTGCACTGTACCCACTACATAAAGTGAATCTGAAACCACATTAACAGGTTCTTCCTTCCAGAAGTTTAAGGCCCACACCACACCCCTCAATTCAAGGGTTTGTAATGTGTCTCCTGAAACACCCGGAAGTATTTTATGTTTCCAATCTGCTCCCTCCTGCCCGGTAATTTCTGCACGTCGAGATTTTCTACCGGAGTCTGTAAAAACAGTAATCCCAGCAACTGAACCCAACACAAGCTGCTCAATTGTCTGATGTTGCAGCAAAGGCAACAATTTGTCTGACGGATAATGATTGGTGACCAGACCTTCAAAGTCTGCCATGGCTATCTGGAATGGTTCTGATTTCTCAAGCAACCACTCCGAATAGTTCTGGGCGACTGGTACAAATATTACAGATGGATCTCTGCCAATTAAATCACAAACTCTCCGTCGCCCTTTTATGACAAGTTGTGCAAACAATTCAGGTCGTGTTATGATTGTCTTTTTGGGTTGATATGGTAAAAATACCCATTCTAAAATTCTCATACTGGTTGCGATTTGACAGATGATGCCCAACGGATGCTTCCTGCTCTCTCCAGAATTGACAAGTAGGTACTGCACTGGTTGGTCTTCTATTATTCTACAGGCAAATCCTGCAGCTATTTTTCCTGAGATATTAACTATAGCTGCTCTTTGGTCTTCTGACAATTCTCTTGGAAATCCTACCTGAGCAACTGATCCTAGTAAAGGTATCAGAGGAGCTAGATCACCATTGGTTATTCCACACACAGGTCTGACCCACTGTATGTCACCCATCAGCTTCTGCACATCAGTCAAAGTTTTTATGGCCGTGTTAATAACTAATTTCTGTGGCCTCACTATACCATTTGTGATGGTCCAACCCAGGTATTGCCATGGCTCCTGCTTCTGAATATTTTCAGGGGCAATTTTGAGACCTCGACAACCCAACTCTTGTTCTAATTGCTGTAACAGCGCAGGCACATCCAAATGTTTTCCTGCTATCAGAATATCATCCGTGTAATGATACACAAATAAGTCAGGATTTTGGGTTCGAAATAACTGCAAGGCCCATGCAACATAAATTTGACACATAGTGAGTGAATTTTTCATCCCCTGGGGAAGAGTTATCCAATGAAAACGCTGTGCTGGTTCTGCTTTGTTAATTGAAGGCACTGTGAAGGCAAACCTGACAGCATCGTCTGGTTGCAAAGGATTGTGAAAAAGCAGTCCTTTAAATCTAGCACCAGTATGACCCAATCATGGGGGATCATCATAGGAAAAGGCAGACCAGGCTGTAAGGGTTCCATATCTTCCATGACTGTGTTGACAGCTCGCAGATCATGTAATAATCTCCATTTTCCTAATTTCTTTGGGATGGCAAATATGGGAGTGTTCCATGGACTCGTAGATGGAAAAATATGTCCTGCATCCAGTTGCTCCTGAACTAATTGTTGAACTATTTGCAGCCTCTCCTTTTTCAGCGGCCACTGATCTATCCATACTGGTTTTTCTGTTTTCCACTGCAGTTTTAAGGTCAACTGCCTATCAATGGCCGCTCCTGAAAAGGAGAAGTAATCAGGCGTGCTCCCATTTGCCCCAACAGATCTCAACCTATCAGGCCTACTGGCAAAGATAACACATAAGACGCGTTCCCAGTATTGCTGCATCAGAAAACTGAAAAGTTATCACATCTTTGCTGATCCATGTCTGCTGTACACCCCCTACTCCCTTAACTCCTGTAGGTGCCATTTCCACAGGCCATGCTTGAGGCCATTTATGTTTAGGAATGATTGAAATGTCAGCCCCGGTGTCAAGAAGCATAGTCATAGTGCTGGATTGTCCATTAGGATGCCATATAATTACATCTTCCTCGGGTTTTCCCTGCTTTATGTCTACTGCTAACATCACCTCAGGGGGGCCTGTTGAACCAAAACCCCCATCTCCTTGTGTCAGTGGTTCTGCATTGGGCACTTCTGCTTTAAAAGGCACTAGTTGAGCTATTTTACTGTTAGCAGAAATAAAAACTGGTGGTGTTAGGGTGTATACCATGATTTTGATGACACCTGTAGAATCTGCATCTATGATTCCTGGCACCACAAAAATTCCCTGACGTGAAAAGATGAACGTCCGACCAAATGAGCACTCAATCCTCTACCTAATCAAGTGCACACCTTGAGTCTCAAGCGTAGTATCTACTGCTGTTGCCAGGTCCATGTCGGCGCTTCCTGCGATGGCTGCACGGCAGCGTTCCAAGCACCCTGATTTGCTGTCATTGCGTGAGAGTGCATCGCTGTCCGTTTGGGGTTCCCCTGCTGTTTACGCTCATTTGTGTTATGGTTATTGGTGCCTTAAGCCCCTAATGTTTTTTTATTTTTCTAATATTTGAAAGACTTGTAAGTTTTATAAGTAGTGGAAGTAGATTTTAAAAGCAGCAACCTCGCCCCCCCCTTTTTGTCCCTTGTCCCTTTCCCTTTCTCCAGTACCCTTGTTTATACACTCCTTAACCCTCTTACCCCATTCTATGCTCCCTATATCACTCATAGCCCCAAATCCAATAGAAATGTTTAGTCTTTTGTCAAGGCAAGGCCTAGATTGTTGGCAGAACAGCATATCAGGACCTAAACCACAGAATACGGTCAAGAATTAGGTAACTATGTACCCTTTGTGCTCTGATGATGGTGAAGATGGGATGAATAAGGGGTCCTGAAATACACCCCAGACCCATTTTAAGGGGATGGACCCGGGGCGGACCAGAGTAAAGGCCACAGGGTGGGCACATCTGGGATTGGATGGATGGTATTATAAAATGTAACCTCTCAGGCACGACCGCCACGTGTCTTGTAACATCTTAGCCTTGGCAAATAAACCCTTTCTTATCTCACCCCTAATTAACTGCTCTGGAGATTTTTTTTTCAGCACCAAAATACCACGGCAACATTATTCATTTGACAGTTATCACACCACCTTGACCCTCCTGCTGGTATTGCAGGGCGAGCAGTCCCTGGCAAAGGAAATACAAGGCACTGGGTGCTGAGATGTCCCTTCTGACCACAGGCAAAACATCTCTTTTCTTTGTGTTTCTTACCATTCCTTCCTCTCCCAGACATAAGAGGCTTTACTACTGCACCTACTGCAGTAGCCAGATAGGCTGCATCCTCCTGTTTGATCATTCTTGTTGCAGCCTCCAGGAGTTGAGCTGTGCCAGCACCCCTAGGCAGTGTGCTTAAAACCTGTTTGGTTTTATCATTGGCGTTATCATAGGCCAACACATCCATAAATTTTGCTCTCATATCTTTATCCATGTCTGGATCTGTATTTACTGACTGATATAAACGATCTATAAACAGATTATATGGCTCATTGGGCCCCTGTTTGATCATAGTACATGGGGGCCCTGACCTTGCATCCCTCACTGCAAGCAAGGACCTATAGGCTAGGTCTTGGCTAGTTTGTAGTGCCTCATCTGGAAACTGTGCTTGTATGTCCGTTGTGTTGTACTGACCAATACCCGTGAGCATGTCAGCTGTAACGCCATAGAGAGGGTGACCTTGCTGCCTAAGCTGTGCTGCAGCTGCTGCACAGCTATCATCCCATTTATTAAAAAATTGTAGCTGCTGAGAAGGAGTCAGCAGCGTGGTTACTATCATACATGTATCGAATGGTGTTAGCAAACTTGCAGTAAAAAGGTGTTGCATTATTGATTGTGTATAACTGCTCTTTAAACCATACTGGGAAACAGCTGCTTTAGCCTCTTTGATGATTTTCCAATCTAAAGCTTCCCAGGATTTGCGCCCTGCACCATCTACAATTGCAGGGAAAGCACTAACTTCTAAGAGCCCAAAATCCCCATCAGAAGCAGCATCCCGTATGCTGTTCTTCCAGTTCTGTATTGGATTACCACTCACACCCTTCCTCCCCCTCCCTCCACCTGGCAAGGCTGGAAACCCTATATCAGAAGTTCTCACCCCAGGCATCCCGGGAAATGGGTTTGGAGAAGGCGATGTTGGCACTGTAGATAAAGCTGGAACATTGCAGAAGTTTGGATGCTGCGGAGCGAACTGTCTCTCTGCCAATGTAGACTTGAGCTCTTCAAAGCAACATAACGAAGTGTTCATCTGATCTTTTGTTGCAAGCATAGCAAGTCTGTTGCTTTCATCCTCTGAGCTCTCATCATCAGAAGTCAGACTTGGGGACGGAAGCGGAGGGAATAGCTGTTCCGTGTTGTGATATGTCGGTTGTTCTTTCATCTTCTGCAGTAATATTGGTGCAAGGGTAGTGATGCCTCCTCTGGTAACTCCTGCCTCTGTTGAAATAGAGTCGGCTCTCGCCGGCGTAGCGGCAGTTTCTTTTGGAAAAGCTCTGGTTGCTATAGCAGTGGTTCTCATCGGCTTACTTCTGGGTTCAGGTTCAATGGTTCCTGATGACGTAAGTTCAGGAGACATGGCGGTTCTGGGCGGTAGCGCTACAGTGCCCCCTGGTGATGTGGAGGCTCCTAGCATCGCTGTTTCAATGTAACAGTCTCTGGCGTAGCACCCAGAGCAGGCGCAGTGGGGAGTGGTGCCGCTGACTATGCAGGCTCAGTAAGAGAAGGCAGTGTCAGCTGTGCAGGAGCAACAAAGGGCATTGCCGATGGCTCGGTGCCAGCTTTGTTCTCTGCAGTCTCTGCTTTTTGTGCCAGCCCTGGTGCACTGCTGAACCGAGACAAGCCTGTGGCTTTTAAAACTTTTATCGTTCGTGCGTTTGCAGGCGCAGGAGCCGAAACCTCCCTGAAAACAAACCATTCTGCGCATGTTTGCACTACAGTCTTTCTGTCACCCTGGAAAGCTGCCTTTGCAGCCACCTCTGCAGCCGCCTCTGCAGCCGTAGATGCTCGGTGCAAAGCGTTCCATCTCTAGTGATTCAACTACCAGACGCCAAAGCGTAGGATAATTTCTTGCGTCTTTTGACCCCTTAGACATCTCTTCCCATAAGTGGTCCTTTATAGTATCCCATGTGGACACTTCAAAGACGGCCTGAGTGGTAGGGATTAGCTTCTTCGCTCTTGCCCATTCTAGTAACCCTTTCAGGGCTTTTTTGTCATAATTTGGCTCTCTTAGAGAGATCATATATTGGAGGAGCTTTTCCACAGCCTCTTCCTCTTTGGAAGGCGCAGGCCCCATGCTCCCTCCCCCAGTCGACTCACCTGGCCAAGGCGAGACTCTAACTTCACCGCGCGCGTGGCTTTTTTCGTAGCGCTGGGGACAGCGCTACCTCTCACGACCGCTTCCCTCAGTTCCTTCTGTTTGCCTTATGTCCCTGCAGAACTTGACGAAGTAGGAGTCCCTGTTCAACGGGTGCCAGATAACAGCGGACGGGTATAGACAGAATGCTCACAGATCAATATGACCGGCAAAAATGTCCCCTTTATTAGAGGAAAGACAACTTATATACTGCTTGTGACACACAGACATGTGATTCTTTCCCAGGTTACATTGGATACATAAGGAAAACATACTGTGTTGTACAGTACTAATTGGACCACAGCAGGTGTCCATAAAACTTGTTTACCTGCTAAAAGAACTCCTCCTTCACCTTGGCACAAGGCCTGCAACCGTATTAGTGGTGTAGTATTTTTTATTGTCTGCACCCAGCCATATTAGTGGCATAGTATTTTTTACTGTCTGCACCCAGCCATGCCAAGGCAAAGGTCGCAGAAATGCAACAGAAATTGTTCACACAATTTCTCTCCTCCTAACACCCTTCCAGGAAGGAAAAAAGGTCTGACCCTCCGTCTCTCCCGTGCTGTTGGTGCAGCACTCTCGGCACTACTTGCACAGCAAGAGCTTTCAGGATGAGCCCCGTTGGTCTGGGAGGAATCTTTGTCCGTATTCACTTTTGGGCCTCGGATGGCCTAATTAGGAACGGGGCTCCTGCCCACCAACGACTGCCGTTCCAGCCAGGAAAAAAAGGCCTGACCCTCCATCTCTCTGCTCCAGTCAGTGCAGCACTCTTGGCACTATGTGCACAGCAAGAGATTTCAGGGCGGACCCCTTTAGTCTGGGAGGAACCTTCATCCATATTCGTTTTTCAGCCTCAGACGGTCGATTTAGGAACGGGGCTCCTGCCCACCAATGACTGCCCTTCCAGCCAGGAAAAAAGGCCTGACCCTCCGTCTCTCCCCTGCCGTTGGTGCGGCACTCTCGGCACTGCGTAAGTACCACTCGTTGTGGTACTTACTTGGTATGTAAGTACCACTTGTTGTGGTACTTCACAATATTTGTCAGTTTAAAAGATTTTTATATCAGGTGTCCTTTCCCTGTATATCATTCTACAAGTCACAGTTTGTGTAAATAGGCACTGACTAATCATGTACTCATAAAAAAAAAATTGAAATTCAGAACTTAGTTTTTAGGGAAAACCATATGGTAAAAAACTACTTTTGTCATTTATTCTGATAACAAAATCTTTTCATATAATCAAAAAATGACTGACAATATATATAATATGATGCCTTAAAAGGGAGTTGTCTTTTCTATTTTGTCTTTTCTATTTTATTCCTTGAATTTTTTCTAAAGTCAAATTTTTTGTCTTTTGAATCTCTCATTGGCTTATTTCTGCCCAGGCTTTGGCTTAAACATTTAAAAAAGCTGCTGTATTTTAATGCCTTGTTTCATTTTGTACCAATTGGTTCCACCTTGACAAAGCATGTGTTCTTCTACGATTCAAAATTCTGCTGTGGTGCAAAAGCCAAAAGCTTATTATAATAACAGTCATCGCAGTAATTATATTGTTTATAAGAAACCCAAAATTTACAGATACAGAAAACCTACTGAAGGAATATTTTGCAGTGGAATAGATTTTTTCCCTGTGATAAAATCTACTACTGGCTTTCTAAAGAAGCAGATAAATCACTCCCTCATGAAGCCACATGAGGGAGTGGCTGAGGGCACTTGGCTTGCTCAGCTGTAGGAGAGTGACATCAGACCTCATCAGGGGTTGCAGCTCCTCTCGAGGGGCAGGACTGATCTCTGCTATCTGTGACCAAGGACCCAAGGGAACAGCTGGAGCTGTGCCAGGGCAGGGGCAGGTTGGA